TATATATATATATATATATATATATATATATACCACTAGAGGGTAGTAAATATCGGAAATGAGTGAAAACTCGAAAGACATGGAAAGGAAAAGGGAAAGGGAAGACATTTGGAGCATCAAAGACCACCAAGATGAAACGAGATAAAGGCCTTAAGGCATCTACTACTCTCTCTCTCTCTCTCTTTCTCTCTCTTGTTGTAATTGGTCTAAGTTTCAACTTCTCTCCCTAGCTACTCACCTGGTTGAGAACGTAGATATAAACGTTCTCTACCGGTAATGAAAGCGACTCAACCGGATACGGTTTTGCTACGAAACGGAATACGTTATAACGCGTTTTAAACTAGCAAAGTACGTAATACGTACTACGTAAACGAAAACGATAAGTTTATCGATGAACGATCGTAAACGCTCGCGTTAAATTATATATGCCATCATTTTAATAATTATATTCATTTTCTCGTTAAACTATAAACGTTTACTATAATATATATATTATATTATATTAATATAGTATAATACAATATTACTAATATAATATAATAAAAAATATTACTAATATAATATAATACAATATTACTATATATAATATAATTTAATATAGTATAATATAATAAAATATAAATAAATATATAATAAAATAATATAATATTATACTAATACTAATTATAATATATACTATACTAATACTATTATATCATACTAATATATAATATATTGTAATACAATATTACTAATATAATATAATATTATACTATATATATATATACATATATTATATTACGCCATTATAATAAAAAATAATAAAATAGACTAATATATATGGGAAACTCCCCCTATATTTTTTAAATGTGAAACACCGTTTTAAATGACGATTGCAAAACGATATATGTTTGCGTGCACGACGTGTTATATGAGAACGAAGAAAAAAGGTTCGTTTGGTTGGAGGAGTGGAAAAGAAGAGTTGGGGGAAAATTAATGAAAACGATACATAAAAAAAAATAAAACAAAAAAAAGAACAATAAAAATCTGCTTTGATCTTCGTACGGTTAACGCGATCTGATCGAAAACATTTCGAATATTTCTAAACGAAAATTTCGTACGATAAAACGACGGGGGGGGGGAATGGGGACGGGGACGGGGACGGGGACGGGGACGATTATAAAAGAGAAAATGAATGTATAACAATAAAATGTTTGTACATACGTACGTCGTCATCGTCGTCGACAATTATAATAACGATTTAATATAAATAATAAACATAAATATCGCATCGATGAATATCCTGAAAAGGGGGATTGATAGGTGCATCAAAATTTCAATATGCACGCCTCGCCTCGTTGAACCGATGAAAAATTCAATCAGTTTTTGAGTTTTATCTTTCTTTTTTTCTCTTTTTCTCTTTCTCCCTTTATCATTGTACATTCGATTTTATGTTCATTAAAAGGTTGAATGAATACGATATCAGAGAGAAACGTTTATGCGTGTGTAATTAAAAAAAAAAAAAAAACACAGAGAAGGAAAGTATATCGGGATAATAATAAAAGTGTTCGTGTGTGTAAAATTCGAATGAGATTACGTATTTAATATTATTCATGTTTTCCCCTCCCTTTTC